GAAGGGATGGGGGGATGATGACGGGGGGGGGGGGGGTATTAGCAGCAAATAGAGGGCGGACCAATGGGAGGCCAGAGAGAAGTGAATGGCAGCTCTGCACTAACAGGGTTTCAGAAGTTGAAAGCAGCATCTGGAAGGAAAGATCTAGGATTAAACCATCAGAACCCGAGTCCCACGAGTCCCACAGGTCCTACGGTGGGCTTATGACTGCCTTCAGACCCGTCCAGCTAAGGTCAAAGGTCAGGCCCTTCCAGCTCCCAAAAATGATTTTATTTCCATTATTTCAATCTAGACGTTTTATTTCTGCGTTCTTCTTTCCCTGCAGACGTTTCAGGCATTTTAAACTTTTCACTTGACTTTTATATTATTTTCTTTTAAAGCTTCAGTTTAAATAGTTTGAAATGTTTCAGTTCAATTAAATTCTATTCAGTTTATTTCTATAGCTCCAATTCACATCAGGTCATCTCAGGTCACTTTATAGATCCAGATCAACCAGATCATCCAGTCAGATTGATTCTTTAAAGTCGTTCCAGTTTAATTGAAATAATTTCCTTCAGTATCTAAAATAAACAGCCTGTTCTATGATAATGCTGATATTAGATTCTTTTAAACATATTTCTATGATTATTTCACACAATAATTCAAATATCAATAAATGTTTGACTTTTACAACATTTACAGTTCGCTGCTCCAGAATATGCCCTCCATCTCTCTCCTCCTGCTGCTCCTCACTGCTCCTCCTCATGCTTCTCCTCCTCCTGCTGCTCCTCACTGCTCCTCCTCATGCTGCTCCTCCTCATGCTGCTCCTACTCACTGCTCCTCCTCACTGCCCCTCCTCCTGCTGCTCACTGCTCCTCCTCACTGCTCCTCCTGCTGCTCCTCCTGCTGCTCCTCCTCACTGCTCCTCCTGCTGCTCCTCCTGCTGCTCCTTCTCACTGCTCCTCCTCACTGCTCCTCCTCACTGCTCCTCCATCTCACTCGCTCTGACTTCAACACAATCAAAAACTAAACTGACAGAAATGAAAACAAAGTGGATTCATCATCATTTTAAGTTTTATGTTTCATTTCATCTTAGTGTTTAAGTTTTATTTTTCATTTCATCATCGTGTTTAAGTTTTATTTTTCATTTCATGTTCGTGTTTAAGTTTTATTTTTCATTTCATCATGGTGTTTGATGCAGCCCAACGTATTGAGAAACGGCCCCTCAGAGGTCGCCCTCCCATCATGACCCCTCCTGTTGCTCAGCTGTCCGCTCGGTTAGCGGTTAGCGGTTAGCGCCCTAACTACCAATTCTCTGCTGTGAGATCAATAAAGTCAATTAATCAACCAATGAGGACACTGAGCTCATGTCTCGGTATTTTTCATTTATGTTATGTAGGTTTCCCACAGAACTGCAAGATTAAGGTGAATATCTAATAAAAATAGCTGGGGGGGTTTGGCCACTGTTGCTATGGTAACGCTGTAGTGAGTCGGTCAGTAACGGTGTTCTGTCAGAACATCATACGCTGCACAGAACGACTGTTGATGAAGCAAAACAGAACAGAAGGAGCACGACAGGAAGTCGCACGCAGAAACAAAATAAAAGATCCGCTTCCTTTTCAAAATAAAAACTTTTCTGTGGCCCTAACGTCAAAAGTCTCCATAACCAAAAACCCGCAGAATAAGTCTTTTTTTATTTACAACTGTTCTCTTTCTGTTGCTGTTGTTCAATAAAAGTTGTTTTAAGATCATTTGAATAAAATGCTTTAAAGCGTCAGGAACATTTACCGATTTAATGCAGAATTAAATCTGAAATTAATTCCGAAGTTGAGAGGACCGCGGCAACTAGAGGAGCTCCAGAGCTAATGTTAGCCCGTCTGCAGCAGCCAGGGCTAACGTTAGCCCGTCTGCAGCGGCCAGGGCTAGCGTTAGCCCGTCTGCAGCGGCCAGCGCTAACGTTAGCCCGTCTGCAGCGGCCAGAGCTAACGTTAGCCCGTCTGCAGCGGCCAGAGCTAACGTTAGCCCGTCTGCAGCGGCCAGAGCTAACGTTAGCCCGTCTGCAGCGGCCAGGGCTAACGTTAGCCCGTCTGCAGCGGCCAGGGCTAACGCTAGCCCGTCTGCAGCGGCCAGGGCTAACGTTAGCCCGTCTGCAGCGGCCCTCTCTCTGCATAGCCGTGTGTGAAGCACCGCTGGCTCCGATGGAGGTTTTATTGTTTTATTTTGCAAAATGTTCATTTTATTTGTGTTTATCTGGCTGTGTTCGTTATTATTCCCCCACTAAATGAAAAAAGTCAGAGTCAGTGGTGATGTCATCAGTACGCTCGCGTTCTCGCTGAGTCCAGACTTTCCTGTGTTCTTGCCAAGACCGGACTTGACGAGAACGTGAGTCCGGACTCGTGTTCTTGTGAATTGAGAAACGGCGCAGGTCCTTCTCTCTGCAGCGCAATGCTGACCTCATGTTGCACCACAAGGGGCGCTGTTTTCCTGCTGATGTGCAGAAGAGGTTTTCCATTGTGCAGCAGGAGTGCATCATTTCAGACAGAGTCACGAACAAACCGGAGAAAAGCTTGGAGGACATGAAGTGGATTGATCTGGTGTCAGAAGGAGCTCAGCAGAAGGAGGCTCCTCTGAAAATGGATCCTTTCCTAAAGCAGCTCAGATCTTCCTAACTTCCTCCATCATCTGTCTTCCTGTGTCTGTTCTGTTGGTTTCAGGTCGACTGTGAGAAGAGACTGATCCACCTTCCAGATGTTTAACTTCCTTTAGATGTTACCATCAGATCCACTTAGTGTCAATAAAAACCCAAAGAAATAAATATGTTTGTTAATGTTAATAAAGAATGAATGAATTCTAAGCTGGAGTAATAGAACAGGAAGGACTGGGAAGCATTTATCCAGAAAACATAAACAATAGACCGATCTGTAAAGGTTTAAGGCTGAGATGAATGATGACAGCCCCCCAAAATAAACTGCATGAAGAGAAACCTGAGTGATGCAGAATAAAGACATAAAAAGTGTTCAGCAGCTAAAATGAATCAAACTTAAACCAAGAACAATCAGACTGAGACTAGAAGGTGAGACTGACTGAAACAGTTGCTGAAAAAAGGTCAAACTGGGAGTGAAGTCCGGATCATCAGCGATTTCTTTAGGATGTTTCCATCAGTGTGGGACATGATGGGCTCAGCAGGTTCAAGGATGGAGGAAGAGGTTGAATGCCTGTAAAACGCCTCCTGTGGTTTGAACTGTCAGATGCTGCAGCTACTGCCTGAAGCCTAATGGCCATGGAGGCATGAGCCCTCATCCTCCCTCTGAACCGTCCAGCCTGACCGCCTCTGGTCAGCACCGCCTGGTAGACTAACATCCAGCCTGATGTGCTCAGCAGCACGCCATCAGCAGCAGAGAATAGACCATAGAAGAAGAAGGGAGCTGCGTTTATCAATCAGTTTTAGTTAAAGAACGAGGAGCTGAGGAGGAGATCCAGTCAGGAATTCATCCCTGGGTGCAGGATGCTAACGTCTCCCCCAGTGGGACAAGCTGCTGTCCTCCTCTTCCAGTGGGTGGATCTAGGACTCATATTCTACGTCCTTAGAACTGATGCTGGTGTTCTAGATGAATCAGCAGTGCCGGTCCTGATCCATCTGATGACCATGAAGCTTGTTGAGCTTCCAGGTTTTGAATGAGTCCTCTGAGGAACGCCATCACGCCGTGTTTGGATCCAACAGTCACGGCTGCATGAACGCTGCCTGCAATCAGCAGCGGTTCTGCTGCAGAATTCAGCGTAAACAAGCAGAACCACCAGGAATAAACATCTCTTCCGTTGTGACTGATGGATAGAAGCTGCTGCTTCAAAGCCCCCCCCCCCGGGGGTCTGGGTGACATGCATTAAGTCCGGGTTTGACCTCAGCCTCATCATGATGCCTGATGCATCATTCAGCATCTCCTTAATAACGTCGATCCAGAGGAGGGCGACCCTTTGAAGGAAATAAACATCTGGTGAAAAGCAGCCTGCAGGGACATCAGCTCCTCCATGTTGATAAAGATCAGCCGGCGGCGGGGAGGGGGGCGGAGCGTTTCCCAGCGTGGAACGCCATCCTGGGCCGCCTGCTGAGAGCTGTTAGCCAGGCAGGCAGAAACAAGATCTCACTAATCCTGAATTCAGCCTATCGGCTCATATGTAGCTGGAATATGAGGGGAAGTTCTGACTGGAGGGGGCCTTCAGTCCATCTCCATCCCCCCCCCCAGAGAGGGGCGGAGTCTTCTTTAAGGACTTTCAGCTGCAATGATAACATTTGGAT